AGACTTTTCAATGTTTGTCTATTTAGTGATTTTAAAATGTTATTTCAAGGACTGTTCTAATTCACAATTCTCTGATAACTATTGTGAGTGAGCTTCACTTTTGTATATTTATTGGTCATTTATATATCCCTTTTTGTGAACTGCCCTTTCACATCTTTTGATCATTTTCTTCTGGGGCTATTCTTAGATGTTCTGGATATTGATCCTATGTAAATTATGTGTGATATAAGTTTAGTTTGTGGCTTTTTTTTTCTTTAGAGTATATTTTGATAAAAGTTTCTAATTTTAATGTGGTCAAATTTATTCATCTTTTCTTATACATTTTTGTTTTTAAAATGTGTATCTTTTTCATAAATATTTTTCTACTTTGAAGTCATACAAATATTTCTTTCACATTTTCATTTAAAAGTTTTACAGTTTTGCCTTCAATATGTTGGTCCTTAGTTCATCTGGAATTTATTACGATGTATATATATCCATTAATCCAGTGTCATAAATTCAAACTTACTGAATTATACGTCCTTTACCCACTGGTCTTTAATGACCATTCTTCATATACAAGGGGTCCTGACGCTCTTTCCATTCTATTCTATTGGCCCAGTCGTCTACTTCCCCTCTCACCAATAATAGCACATGGTCTTAAATCCAGTGGTGTATATATCTTCTCATGTAGTCAGAAAATTCCCCAACTTCCTCTTTATTTTCAATGGTATTTTGGCTCTTCTTGAACTTGTGTTCCTTCGTTTCATTTTAATATCATTGTGCCCAATTCTATAAAACATTTTGTTGAAATTTTTCTAGAAACAGCATGAAACTATAGATCACATTGGGGAAAACTGGCATTTTTATGATATTGATGCTTTCTAACCATGAATATATCTCTCCATCTGTGCAGTACTTCTTCAACTTCTTTTAATGATTTTAATTTTCCCCACTAAGATCTTGCATGCCTTTCCTTTTTGAGAATTTATTCCTGATTACAGTGGACCGTTCAACAATGCGAGGGCTAGCAGTGCTGACTACCTGTGCAGTCAAAAATCTGCACATGATTTTTGACTCCTCCAAAACTTTACTAATAGCCTACTGTTGATCAGAAGTTTTACCAATAACATAGTTATTCAACATATATTTTATATTTGTATGTGTTATATACTGTACTCTTACAATAAAGTAAGCCACAGAAAAGAAAATGTTGGCCAGGTGCGGTGGCCCATGGTTGTGATTCCAGCACTTTGGGAGGCTGAGGTGGGAGAACTGCTTGAGACAAGGAGTTTGAGACCAGCCTCAGCAACATAGCGAGACCCCATCTCTACAAAAAATTAAAAATTTAACCAGGTAGGGTGGCATGCACCTGTAGTCCCAGCTACTTGGGAGGCTGAGGTGGAGAATTGCTTGAGCCCAGGAGGTTGAAGTCACAGTGAGCCATGATCACACCACTGCACTCCAGCCTGGGCAACAGAGCAAGACCTTGTCTCAGAAAAGTAAAGAAAATGTTATTTAAAAAATCATGAAGAAGAGAAAATATACTTACTATTCATTAAGTGGAAGTGGAGCATCATAAAGGTCTTCATCCTCATGTCTTCATGGTGAATATGCTGAGGAGGAGGAAGGGGAGGAGGGGAGTTGGTCGTGCTGTCTCAAGGGTGGCAGAGGCAGAAGAAAATCATATATAAGTGGACCTGCACAGTTCAAGCCCATGTTGTTCAAAGGTCAACTGTACTGTAAATTTGTTATATTTTATTAACCAGTTAATCACATTTCCACTTCTTTGTTTTTATAGAAAATGCAATATTTTATATATTTAGCCAACTGTGCCAAACTCTTAATTCTTATGTTTTAGATTATTTTTCTCTGTAGACAATTGTATCATCTCTGAATAATGAAAGTTTGCTTTATTTCACTCCTATCCTTTCAACTTTTTTTTGATCTGTTGTTAAAAGCCCCCCCATACCATGCCTAAGTAATAAGTAATCTCAATATTATATTCCATTTCATATAATAAAATTTGACTTCCTAAAAGGGCTTGCTTCTTTTTAATTCAATGTCAATGCTGGAATTTCAGTTCTTAGCCTTGAAACCCTGGTGAAAAAATTCTCAGCAAGAAGGAAAAAAATGTTCTCGCCTTCTCCTGAAGCTGGGGAGAACAATAAATGAAAACTGTTGTCATAAATGGTTATTTCTAACAATTTTTCAAACCCCTAGACTTCAGATATTTTGGACAGGACCTGACAAAATGACCCCTAACCTGTAAGACATCTATACTTTTGACCACTCATCTTTCTTAATAATTTAGTTCTCTGGTGATAATGTTTGAGTTTAAAATCTCAAGCTTCAAAAGATAACGTGATTTGTGAATTT